CCTCAGGTTGCCTCAAATCCTAGGTTCTAACATGGTAAGAGTTTCATGAAACAGTTACCATACCAGAACAAAGGAAGCTATGAATCAGAAAACCTTTTAAACACATAGCTGGACACACTTTGTAGACAGATTACAGGAAACAGGAGATCTCAACTATAGGACTCAGATGCTCTCTGGTAATATTTTTAGCTTTTATGTTGGTGAAAGCTAGGGGTCTGTACATTCCAAAAGGACTTAATCTAACGGTTCTAAGGATTTTACATTACATACAGGAGTGGCAATAAATGGCTACTCAGGTTTAAGGTAGCCCCCGATAATTTGGATTTAAATCTGCAACATTTAAACTCTCCATTGAAATTTTAGTCATTCAATAAGACTTGTAGGCTAGTTAATGGAGGTGTCCTTCTATCTCCAGCACTGGAGCAAAAACAACAACAATAGTAATACTAGCAGTTAACAATAGAAAGAGACCAAGCAAGCCCTTGGGCCGCCTATAAAAGTTCTGTCACTTATGAAGGCTCTATTGTCACATCCCAGTGACTTCCCAAACTCTCCACACCACCACACGGAAGGCTATACTCCTCCTGAATTTTAAGAAGATGCTTTCAAGACACACCCGGAAGAAAGGGGAAAAAGAGGTGTTCCAGTATGTTAGAGCCAAAAAATAGGTTCTTGGTTTTAACAGGGATGCAGACCATTAGATGGCATCTCTCATTTGTGTGTGGGCTCGTTCAAAAGTTACCTATGGATGCCTTACTCTTGCCAGAGACTCATCAGTGAAAAAAAGGGCAGAAATCCCAGATCCCAAAGGGCTTGTGTTCTCGGGGGCAGTGTGTGTGTGTGCATATGCATATGTGTATGAAAGTGTGTGTTGTGTTCATATAATAGCAATAAGGAAGTATGTGTGTTCAGATGATGATGGTACTGAAGTGTGTGTGTGTGTGTGTGTTCAGGTGATAATGGTACTAAGGAGGCAGAGAATTACCCCGGGGATTCATGGGTAGTAGTTCTTAGAATTTAACTAGCATATGAGGTTCATCACTGGGCTTATTTCTTTTTAACAGCCCAACATACCCATTTGAATATAATGAAATAGAGTAGCGATTACATGCCTAGTGCTCCCGGAGTCTTTGCAAGAGTTAGGGCAAGTGCTTCTCGCAGGGATAGCAAGCATTTTAGTTTGTGTGGTAAAGTGGTCCTCAGACAGGACCACTTTCAGCCTGAGCGGTAAAACGGTCCTCAGACAGTTGTCTCCGCGAGTCACCGGGTTTAGACGTCTGCGCAGGATCACCTCTATTTAACCTGCTCAGGTTGTCCTCATTAGGGCTTTTGCTTAGAACATCATCGCAGCGATCATATACTGTATTTTTAGCATCTTATATAAACTTCCTTACAAATGCCTGTTACATAACAGGCCCCCCTCCCCCCAGGCTTGTCTCCAGCCTCTCCCAGATTTATGGTGGGGGCAAGCAGCTGTGTTGGGGTTAGGGGATCCCTGGCCAGTGGCTGCATAACGCTCATGTCCCCGAGGCTCATCCCACCTGCTCTGAGCAGAGCTGAGGGTGCAGCAATAACGTACAGCTCTCAAAATACGGTCCCCTCCCTTCCAGCCATTCCCTTCTGTTCCGTTTGCATCAGGTGTCATGCTGCTGTGTTCCTGAGCTTGGGAAAACTGTTCCCCCTGCCGTAGCTTTCACATGAGCCTCTCCAGCAAGGCTCCAGGGGTAGAAGGCAACCCAGAGCCACTTTTAGTTTGTCCTCTGTGCAGATGGCAAATAGGAGGCCAGTGAAGCCCATGACCTCCTCCCACAACCCAGGGAACACAGTCAGCACTAAGGTGTCTGGATTCCCTTCCCTAGAGGACTTCGGTCAAGCCAGCGGTCTCTATATCATGAATGAGACTTAGAAGAAGTTGGGCTTTGAATAGGTGTTTCACCTATAGAACCACTATGGGATATGGGCTGATTATATGAAACTTTATGGCTGAGTTTTCAGTGAATTAGCTAGATTCTAACTGCTAGAATGTCATTAACCTGAACCAGATGGACGTGTGTGTGTGTGTATGTGTATGAATGTATTTACGTATGTAGTTAGGGTATGTATGTATATATGATGCATTTATATGTGTGTAAAATTGCACCCAAGAGTGCCTTAGTATATATTCTACCTTTGTGTTATACCCACCCCCAGCCCATGTTCTTTCAAGTTTAAACTCGACTGTCTTCCTTTTTTAACGACAATGTGAAAAAACAAATGGTAAACTCATTGACTGAGCACACAGGAGGTTCAAATCCCCTTCTGCTGAATTGTGTGCAAGAAAACCATTGTGTCATGCCATTCTTAACATTCTAACTATATCAGGAAAAGTCTTGGGGTGCGGCAGTGGGCAGGAGGGATAAGTATGGAAGGACGGTGATAAGCATTTTCCAAATTAGGAAACAGATACGCTTTTCTTCTGACTCTCTTACATAACTGGTCTATTTTAGAAGACAACACTAAAAAAAAAACTGAAATGAAATACAAATCTCCTGACTTTACTACTTCGTTAGCAAAGAATGAGAAAAGTCAGTAGTGCTCAAGGGAAGAAAGGAACGAGCTGCTCTCGAAGCCCTCAGAGGCCTCCTGCCCAGACGCTGGCTGGCAGGGCTCCTTCCTCCTTTCTCATCACAGCCTGCTGGATGAGTCAGAGACCAAAGGCTAGGTTTTAGAAAATGAATGGAGCCACTGATTTCTCTCTCCTTCACGTTTAAGAGGCAGTTGCCTCAAGGGGCATACCCCTTTCGGTGGTACAGAAAGACAGAAGAATGACCTATTACAAAACCAGTGGTTACTGTGTTCAGGCTTCCTGATTCACCAGGAAGCCGTGCTGCATACAAAGGCCACAGTGGAAGCACAGCCTCTTACATAAATAAGTTACATAAATGAGAGAGAACAGGTTATGTAAATGTATAAACCAGCAAACATGAATTATAACCATTCACAAATGCCACGGAGAACAGGATGTGGTTCCTCCTACGGTCCCCTCCCCCCCAGCCTTATCACAATTGTGCCTCTTCACGTCATGCCAGCATCAGGTGTATCTGTCACATTCGTTAAGGACAGAGGGACTCTTCGTCTTATTTTCCGAAGCACCCATTTTCCTTCTGAGAGAAATCTCGTAACAAACCTGACTTAAACTGTATCTGAAAGAAATACGTGTTTATCAGTTTATCATACTTTGTCTAATCATGAATGCACTTAACAAAATGCTTGCTGGGGCACATTTTGAAAACTACCGGGGACAAGAATGAAGCCTAAAAGTGAAGTGTGTGTGTGTGTGTGTGTGTGTGTGTTTGCTATACTAGTTAGATTTTTTTTAACTCTTAAGTGAATATCTAGGCATCTAACTAAAGTCATTGTTCTGCCTGGGCTGTAGTTCCATCCTAGGGGGCTTCCCTAGCAGGCAGGAGGTCCTGGGCTCCATTCCAGAGCTACACAGATAAGGTAAACACAATTGCTCTGCCTGTTGTAACTTAGATTTAAGGCTCTGCTCATGAATGATTCCCCTGTGTTCCCCACCACAGATGATGAGGACGAGCTCCTTGCCTGGCTGCAGTTTCCTTCAGAGCAATAGGAAAGTCTTTGCATTACAGAGAGAGCAGAAGCCTGAGACGTTCTTAACCCTTCCTTCCCTGCCTCTTTTGTTTATTGTGTTCTGTGGAAACTAGTGGCTATCATTAATTGTTAGCTAATTTCAGACAGCATGATCATCGGCTTGCTTTATTTTGAAAATCGCAAGTAAAAACTGCGGAAGGGAGGCAACCGTTTATTAAACATTGTGTATGATACTAGGACAGCGAGAAGATCTTAAAATCTCTTTATAAATCTGACCGCGTGGGATTTTTGTACAAATGTTTCTCTTCCTGTTACCAAGTGTCTGAAAGAGAACCAAAAGCCTCAAATCCCTTCCTACATTAACAATCCAGTACCCTGTGATCAAATCTATAAATATTTCCATTGAGAGTATTAAACTCGCCGCTGTCACATTTAAAGAAACTAACCCATTATATAGGAGCCAAACCATCTTCTGTCGACAAAACTGCAGACGGCTTGCGTTGTAGTGACCTGGTCTCTGTCACTTGGGAAAGTATTTTTCCCCGTTTTCTCATTAGAAAGAACTTTAAGCCACTGTGAATTGGTGTGTATATGTAGGATTTGGAACGCACCTGAAGAACTTGGGGACTATGACTCTCTAAGTGCATTTGTTGGTTTGTCTTACAGTTTAATGGGTTTGGGTGTATTGCACTTTTTAAATTTAAAGGTCGTACACCAAGTACCGGGCTTCATTTAGAACAGTTCACTTCTGTCGTTCGTATTCTTAAAGAACTTTCAACACAAGTCAGCACTAACCTAGCAACAGGAGAAACTCTGCATGCTGGGAGGAAGCGGCCCCAAGACGTGGAGTGTGTGTGTGTCTTAAGTTGTCCTATTTCAGATTTGAGTCTCAAAGTCATCACACCGTGCTTTTGTTGTCCTTCTGCTTGTTCTTGCCACCTTTAACCCCGAGCATCCAGAGTCACTTAAGGCTTCCTACTACCGCCTGGAGGGACCGAGGTCCCTACTCAGGTGCAGCAGGTTTGGGTCCACAGTACTGCGGGTGAGCAGTCGCCCACCATAGAGGCCTGGGGACTGGCCGCGACTTCAGGAGGTGTCAACCGGGCAGGCCGCCCGGCAAACTACGGGCTTTGTTCAGTCACGAGCCAGGCCCTCGTTGTCAGAGAAGCCAATTAGGATCCCCGCTGGGGATCATCTGATCTCTCGTCCCACTCCAGGAGGGGCTCAGAAAGGGCGGGACCGGTGGGCCCGCTCCCGGGAACTGGGCGGCCAGCCTCGCGTCGGGAGGCCGGGCTCGGCAGCCAAGGCCCGCCCCGCCCGGCCTCGCCAGGCCCCGCCCCGCATGCCCAAACCCCGCCCCCCCGGGGGCTCCCCGGGCGCGCGCCGCCCCGCCATGTCCGCGCGCCACGCCCCCCTGCTCGCCGGCCGCGTGCGGAGCCGCGCGCCCCGGAGGTTCCCGGACCGTGGCGGCGGGCGGCGGTGGCGGAGCAGCCCTGCGCGGGCCATGTCTTCTCCGGCCGTGGCGAGGGCGTCCCCGGGCGGGAATCGGGAGGCGGCCGGAGGACCGCGGAGCCGGAACGGGCCGTGGGAAGTGGGCGGCGGCGGCGGCGGCGGCGAGCGGCTGGAGCGCGCGGGCGCGGAGCCGGGACGCTGGGAGCTGCTGCTCCGCCGGGGCGAGCTGCTGGCGCTGGGCGGCCACCTGAAGGGAGCGCTGGAGGCGTTCGCGGCCGCGCTCCGCCGCGGGGCCCCGGCCAGGCCCGAGCGCCTCGGGTCGCTAGTGGACTGCTTGGTGTTCAGCTACCGGCTCCGCCACGGGCTGCGCTGGAGCGCGACTCCCGCGGCGGGCGCGGCCGGGCTGCTCAGCTGCCTGGGCTGCCGGGGCTTCCTGAGCGAGCCGGTGACCGTGCCGTGCGGCCACAGCTACTGCCGCCGTTGCCTGCGAAGGGAACTACGCGCCCGCTGCCGCCTGTGCCGGGACCGCCTGCCGCCCGCAGCCAACGCCGAGGGGACCCCGCGGCCGCCGCCCCTGGCCGCCGCCATCGCCGACTTCCGAACCAGTGTCGTGCTCAACCACCTGGCGGAGAAGTGGTTCCCGGGCCAGCGCGAACGCGCGCGGGCGGCCGGCCGCCTTGGGGAGCTGCTCCATCAAGGGCGCTACCGAGAGGCCCTGGCGGCCGCCTGCGACGCCCTGCGAGCAGGTGACGCGGGGCTGCGGTGCGGGGCCGGGCGAGCGGGGATCGCGGGTGTGGGAGGGGGCGGCGCCCCGGGGTGCTTCGGTCACGGTGGGGATCGCCTGGGAGCCGCAAGTGACGCGGCGCGGGGAGGGGCGCGGACGCGAGTTTCTTTCGTGCGCGCGCGCCGAGTGGGGACCCGGGCCGCGGAGCCTGGGCGCGGGGTGGACGGGTGGGTAGGGGCCGCGGGCTTCCCGCTGCGCGGTGTCCGGGAACCCCAGCCGGGGTGGGGCAGGCATCGCCCGGACGAGGCGGGGCTCGGGGGGTACCGCGTTTACCTTGGTATAACACTAAAGTCACTGGGGCAATTGGAAGCCGCGGGAGGGCAGAATTGCATAAGCTGGGTGGGGGGGCGTTGTGTAACGGGTGACGTTCGGTGGGCGTGGCAGGAGCTCGGCGCGGGCACCGGCACCCAGAGGCCCAGCGGAGGCCGGGCCCGGAGTTAGTGGCCGGCTGCCCCTGAGGTGGTCAGTCAACTTTTACCTGAAGCGTCTGCACGATCGCTTGCTCCTGGAACTGCCGCCACCTGCCTATCTCAGATCCAGCTTCCATAGACTCTGGGTGTGCTCCCACGTACCCCTGGTGTTGGTGGAGAGGTAGCCTCCCATCAGGAGTTTGCCTTACTCACAAGTAGACCTGTGAAGGGAAGCTTTGTCGGTCTTTTGTTTATATTTTCGTCTCTAAGAAGCAGTAGCTTTGTCCGGTCTCCTGGTTAACGTTTTTCTTAAGATGGTTTTAGGCTGCGAAAAAGGGTCATGCAAACTTAGTAAAACCAAAAGTTCCCCTTTAAATATTTGAATTCGTTTATTCTCTACCGGACCGGGGTGGGAGGGGGCGGTTGTGGAGACTTACCCCCTGGGTATTTTACATCAGGGGACCTTATCTAGAAAAGCACACAGAGATAAACATCCAGAGACACCTTTGAGTAGGCACCCCTTGTGGGGGTCGTGTCAGTAAAGACATCTAGTAGCCCTTCCAAGGATGTTGTTAAACAGTTCCTAGACTCACAGCCTCCTACATGAAAGACCGATCAGGCCTAAATGTTAACAGTGCCGTCGTTGGTCACCTGCTGATGGGCATGCTTTGTGTCTGTTGCCAGATAGGAGAAATTACTTATGAGAATAGTCACCAGGAAATCGGTGACACTGGAAATAGGAACTGATTTTAGGTTTTAGGTAAGTTATAAACCTTGTAACAGGAAGTATAATTTTTGTGAGTCTTTTATTCCTATGGAGCAGGTGACAGTAGCTTCAGTCATACCCCTGGAGCTCAGAGCACAGATGGGGCACGGTTTCATTTTCTTCCAGTATCTTCATGAGGAGTAGGCGCTAATAAACTAGAATGATAAACCCAGAACAAAAGAAAGCTCTGGAAGCTACAGTCTGGTGGGGATGACTCTAGCCAGCTGGGTGAATAAAGTCGAGTGGGGAAGCTGGCCTCACCTGTCCCAATCATCAGTAACAGGCTGTGGTCTGACCTTAATGAGGAGGCAGAACTAGGACAGGTGACTCGTCCACAGTCACCTTGGTGGTGGGTCTGAGCCGCCTATACAAGCCACCACCCATCTCTATAGTTCCTCTAAAGGAAATTTTAATGTATATTTCCAGTGAAGGGTTTTTGTTATCTGTATGTAACTGAGAATGAAATTTGAAGCAATATTTGCCTCTAGCATCTGAGGTAGTTATTTGATCTAAGTTAATTCAGGTCCTATGATGGGAGAATAGTAAGTACATTTCCTAAGTAGGGACTAACTTACCATCCTGTGCCCAGTATTGATTCTAGGGCTTAGACCAGGATATTATCTTTAATAGAAAAAGCTGTGAATGCCGAACTCTTGTTCCCAAATTTCACACTGCATGTAAGATTGCCCACAAGCTATGTAACCACACTTTTGCAGGACTAGAACTCAGGTCTCTTGCCTTTTGCTTTCTTAGCTTATTGGCTTATTAATTTTTTTTCTTATTTGTAGCTTGTCAAAAATCAGTAATTCTACACCGGCATATATATCTCAATAGTACTAAGGAGAATAGTAACTTGTATCTTTTGAATTCTTTGTGTGAGATAAAGGGAAAACAGACAAAATGTATTTTAGTTGGTAGATGGCAAATTTGTAGGTTTCATAATTTATGGGCATTAATAAGAGTGGGCGTATAGCTCGAGGTAGCTGCTTGCCTGGCATGTGGAATACATTGCTGTGCATTCCTGTCCTGCAAAACAAACAGCCCACCACAGTTTGTAAGCTACTAGCCTCGCAAATCTGCCCGGACAGTTTGTCAGAGTTGACTTTTTTGGAGTTGGTGAGGTAGCTAGGTAAACATTTGAAGTGCATTTATAATTGTCCAACTGTAGTTATTAATGGTACTGTCAACATTGATAATAAAAAAATCCCTTGCTGTAATTTTTCATGTTTCTTAAAATGACACAGATACTATTAGGGGAAAAAAATCAGTCTGCAGTTGGCCCACACACTACCAAACTTCTCCCCGTCGACAGAAAAAGAAAGCTTGGAAACCCTTGCCAAAATCAGAAGTCCCATTGAGATTACATAAGGTTCTGTTGCGTTGAAATATATTTAGATAACATTTAATCCATTGATCTTTTGGTATTAACTCTCAGATGTTTCATAACTTTCTTCTTAGTATTCAGGGAGCTTATGTAAAAGTCTTTCCTGCACTGAGTCTTTATACTCAAGTCTTTTGAACTGATCCCACTTGGAGCGCTGCTGCCTTTTTATACTGGGTTTTTACACTGGCCTCCCCCCTGTCCTGTGTTCCCCACTTTCCAAAAGAAAGTAACAGAGCAGTGTAATGGACAATTTGAACTGTCTTTTAAAAAGTTGTGTGTGTGTGTGTGTGTGTGCGTTTTTATTTAGCTTGTTTAAGGAAAGGGGACTTTTTGAGCTTTTTGGTGTTTTCATCCATTTACTTTATTGTGTGTGCACACATGGATGCCGTGGTGTGCATGTGGAATTTTCATCCATTTACTTTATTGTGTGTGCACACATGGATGCCGTGGTGTGCATGTGGAATTTTCGTTTATTTACTTTATTGTGTGTGCACACATGGATGCCATGGTGTGCATGTGGAAGTTAGAGGACAACTTGTGGGACTCGCCTCTCTCCTTCCGTGCTGAGCCTGGGTCTGGCTTGGCAGCAAAGCCTTTACAAGATGAGCTGTTTCACCTGCCCAGACTTCTGTCTTTAGTATTAATTATATAGTTCTTGACTGTCGGTAGCTTTATCTGTATAAGTGGGTCCTACAGAGAACCTTCCGAGGGAAGTTGAGGCCTCTAAAGCTAATGATGTTTTATGGCTCGCGACCAAGTTCTGCACGCTGGAAGCAGGCTACCTGACAGAGTCCCCGTACAGCCTCTACATGCTGTGTGACCCGGTGTGTGGCCTGACCTCTCTGTGCTCTGGTTTCCTTGTCTAAAGCATGAGCCGCTGTGAGAATTAACTGAGTGGAAACACGTGAGCTGCTTCAAAAAGTGCTGCAGACAGTAAATTCCCAGAAAACCATAGATAGTTTGACAACATGAGTGCTTTGTTATGCTTGGGTGAACTAGATGAAACTGAAACCTAAGCCTGTGGTTTCAAGCTCAATTCCAGTTTCTGTATACATTATTACCAAGGAAAGGTTAGATCCTGATTGTAGATTGTATGTGTCAGTTAGGAGCAGCTGCGCTATCAGTTTGAGGGGAAGATACTACAGAGATTCAGTTATAAAAAGATTGGTCAAATCAAATACATTCCGAGTATGTTTAAAGAGAATGTTAAGGGGTTTTGCAGTCTTGACAATTCAGCTAGTTTAAAATGTATTTATATCCTCACCGTACAAAGAACCTATCACGGTCAGATATGTGCATTTCATAACTCACAGAATATCTTCATTTCCATCATCTTAGCTGAACCCCACAAAATCCATGCCACTGGGAAGGAAAGCATCTAGCTAACAGGCTGGGGAACCAGAGCCCGAGTTTTAGATGGCTTATAGTCAGGTAAGAACTGAACAGAAAGGAGGTGACTTGGCTCTGAAAATGGAGTAGATTAAAGCATTGGCATATAAGGAATATTAACTCTTCTTGTTGTTCATTCAACAAGTGTTGACTGAGCGTCTTTGATGTGTCAGGAACATATACTATATGTTTTAGGTTCTGCAAATAAGGTAAAGAACAAGATAAAGCCCCTGCCATTATTGTTTTTAATTGTAGCAAAGTAATATGTATTCAAAATATTCAAGAATTGAACTTCTTAATTATTAAATTCTAATGAACTGATACTCCAGTAATTTAGTTAATGGAGGGCTTGAAAGGTCTGTACAGTGTAGTGTCACTAAGAAGCCTGATTATAGTCGCAGTCTCTTTGTTGAAGAAGATGGAAAACCCTGGTCCTATAAATATCTTTGGAGTGTCCTGTTTTAAATAGTACTCTCCATACTTTGCCTGTCTTTTATTCATGAAACAGCAGAGTATACTGAAACGTTGTTGCCTTGGATTGAGAGTTATTTGTACCGTAACTTTTTGTCAAAATTGGTTCTATTTCATTTAAAATAGAATTATTTTAGAGATTGGTTATTTTTTAAATTGTCTATGTGTGTTTGTGCACACACAGAGGCATGTATCTGTTACATGCATCAGTGTGTACCAGTGCCTTCAGAAGAGATGTCAGGTGCTCTAGAACCGGAGCCACAGGCAACTATGAGCTGCCCGGTATGGGTGCTGGACTCGAACCTGGATCCTCTGCAAAAGCAGCAAAGTGCGCTTCTTAACTGCTGAGCCGTCTCTTGGTCCTCCTCAAGTAACGCTTCAGATAACATTGTATAGCTATATCCCGTTTATTTTATTGTGAGGTATTTTCAGAATTGGAATTCAGTTGTCGCAGATTAATTCCCTCGGAGTACTCGAATGTGCGAGGCAGCAGCGTTCTTTAACTTGTCTTTTCCCCAACTCTCGCGCGACAGCTGGTCCAG